ACAAACGAGGCCCCGCCCTGCCACCCGGCCCCCGGCCGAGCCCGCAAGTGACCCGGCAGAGTTCCGCCCGGGTCCCGCGTGGGTGCCTGGCCGTCTGTAACCCGTGACCTCAGATCCCCGACAGTTCTGCGTCCAAAGTGCTTCGGGAGGCGCCTTGGCGTCCTCCGTCCTCAAATCTTGCTGAACCCCAGTTTTCCCAGCACGGCGGGGGCGGGCAGAAGCCGTGACGAGGCAGTTTTTGCGGGCGAGAGGAGGGGGAAGGACGGGGTCCTGGGGAGAGACCGCTCTGGCTTGCGTGGAGGGGGCGTCGGGCTGGGACCAGGTCCCAGTCCTGGACTGTACCGCACCCACACTCCCACCTGCGTCCTGTGGGTTTGGCAAAGCAGCTGGTGGGGGCATTAGGTCCATTAGCAAAGGCCAAGTTGCCGGGAACAGGAGGAGGGAGCCTGAAGGGGGTGGGTACGACGGGGCGAGTGTGTGATGGGGGGCACTTCTCAGCTGCCACGGCCTCTGGAGCAGGTGGTCAGCATGTGAGGAGGGGCACAGAGGAGGTTCCCGCAACAGATGGCCCTAGACCAGGGGGTGGGGGTGGGGGTGCCTGACCATCTGCACCTGGAGCCGCCCGCGTGCTCCTCCCCCTTAGCACGGAGAGAAAAGGAGCTGGGGGAAGGGAAGGGGTGTCTTTATTCGGAGGGAAGGATCAGCACCCACCCCCACTGTCCAATATAGGCTGGAACCCGGGAAGAAGGCAGCTGGTGGAGGAGTGAGGGGTGGCAGAGGTGAGGGCTGCTTCCAACAACCACCGTCTCCCCTCGCCCAGGATCCTGGGGCCGAGGGGTGCCCCCTCCAGATGAGAAGGCGTGAAGGGGCGAGGGTTCCCTTAGGTGCTGGCAGTAACCAGCTGAACTACTCCCACTCTAGAGTTCCAGGATGCCCACTGTGGATAGGGCGCAGCAGTGACGCTGAGAGCTCTCTAGCCCCAGTTCCCAAGATCCAAGGAGCTAGGCTCTGAGCCGTGGACACAGGGGGAGGGGACAGGAGGAGCCACAGCAGAGGACCGCCCACTGTGCAGTTGCAATTCCCGGATGGAAGCTGGCACGGTGGGGTCCGCAGGGAGGTCCCTCTGGTCAGGAGGCTGCTGGCAGTGACTGTGTCTGGCGACTGGCCCAGTAGCGGTGGTAGGTGTCTTGGAAGAGGTCCTGACAGGCGATGTGGGCATGGAGACGGGCACAGGCCAAGAAAGCCCCCGCTAGCTTGCGGTGCAGGGCGTAGGTCTCCTCAGGCGGTGGGCGCAGCCGGTGCCGAAGCAGCACTGGGATGAGGCCCTGTATGCGGCGGGCAGTATCTCCCGCCCCAAAGTCATAGGGGCCTGGGGCAGCAAAGGGCTCCCCCAGGATCATCACTGCCTCCACGTGGGCGTCAGCGAATGCCTAAGGGTGGGGACGACAGATGCATTCAGATGGACATAATGTCCTCTGCTTACTTCAGAGGGCTGGGGATGTGACTCACTGGTAGAATTTGCCTAGAATCTACCAGTGAGGGGCTGGAGGTGTGGCTCCGTGGTGGAGGGCTGGCCTTACTTACATGCCCAAGGTCCTGGGTTCCATCCCCAGAAACCTTATTAGACTCAAGTATGAGTCCAAACCTCCAGGTTCCCCCAGGAGTAGTAAGTAGTTGCCACTCCTTCCAGAGCATCCCCAATAACTCTCAAACAGGCCTGGCTGTCTACAGATAAGCAGCCTTCTATTCCCCGAAACCAGGCCCCTAGCAACCCTCACCCCAGAATAGATAAATAGTGCCCCTTTTCTAAGGGTTCCTGAGTAGTGGGCTGTGTCCTCCAATCCTCCCTCAGTATAGAGTAGCATGCTCAGATAGAAGTAGTCTCCGCTCTCCCCTATCCCTTCTCTGGCTGCTCAGAAAGCTAAGGCAGCTCCCCACTCTTCACCCTCCCCAAAGACACTAGCCTCCTAAAGAGAAAAGCAGCAATAGCAGCAAACACCAGCCCCCTTCAGCTCAGTGGACAACCCACCTTGGTTTCAAAGCCTGTGAGGAATTTGAGATCCTGAGATTTCTTCAGGACTCGGTCTCTGTCTCCATCTGCAGCGGCCTTCACCACCTGGTATGCCAGAGGACAAAGACCAATGGGGGTCAAGGGAGGTTCTTTGTTCTTTAGAGATGGGGCTCAGGAAGGCTAAACTGGTCTTGCACCCACTGTGTAGCTGAGGATGATTTTGAACTCCTGATTCTCATGCCTCCACCTCCTAGGTGCTAGCATTACAGGCTTTCACCTCCACACCGGGCTACAAGGGAGGTTCTAGCAAACAGTAAGTATCAGCGAAGGGCATAGCAGTTATGCTATAATCTTAGTACACAGGGGGCTGAGTCAGGATTGAGTTCTAGGACAACCTGGACTACCAAGCAAGAACACTTGTAGGAATCGGGGAGGAATGTTTTGCCCAACCTGGATCCATCTCCATTCTTGTCCTAGCTTGTTTCTCCATTGCTATAACAAAATACTCTGACCAATACCAACTTGGGGAGGAAAGGGTTTATTTTATCTTACATCTCCTGGGTCACAGTTCATCAGGGTGCCCAAGGTAGGAACTTGGGGCAGGAATCTGGAAGCAGGAGCTGGCACACAAGCCATGGAGGAACTCTGCTTACAGGCTTGCTTCCCTCGCTCCTGCTCAGCCTGCTTTCCTATGCAACACAGGCCCACCTTCCCAGGGATGGCACCACCCATATCACTCAACAATCAAGAAGATGCCCCATGGATATGGCCACAGGCCAGTTCAATGAAGGAAATTCCCCAATTGAGGCTCCCTCAACCCAAGTGAGCCAAGTTGACACTAAAGCTATCCAGCACAATTCTCTACCCAGACACACCCTTTTACCTAGAAGCTTCTCCCTCCCTACTCTGTCTCTTGAGGGTCTCCATCAAGACTGTTCCAGCACCTGGGAATTAAGTGTTTAGAGTGCCACCCACTGGGAGTAGTGAGCTGCCTGGAAGCCACCACCATGGCACAGAGGAGAGTGTCACCCCTGCTGACCAGGTCCAGGCACTAGACAGGATGGAACAGTGTCCCAGGATGCCCCAGGGCTGTCTGTCTTTCCCACTGAATTTCTGACCACTTGGGTGTAGGTAGCCCAGCTGGGTTCAGTTGCACTGGGCATGGGACCTGGCACTCTGGATGCCCTTGCTTAGCCTTGCTTTTTAAGCAGTTGCCTATGTGGACTTAAGTTCCTTTCCAGTCTGCAGAGTCACCTGGGCCCACTCCCATGGGTTTAGAAGGCTGCAGCAAGCTAGCTGTTCTGCAGCTGGGCCCCTGCTTGCTCATCTGTGAAATGGGAATGAGGAACTTTGCTTCTGCATTGGGGTTGATGAGAGGATGAGGAGGCTGACACTGTGGACCACTCAGCACTGTGTAGAGGAAGCTACTCTTGAGTTTGAGGCCAAACTCAGAGCTACCCTTACTATCCTGGGTGTGAGGGACCCTGCACAGAAGAGGAGGTGGGCTCAAAGCTGGGAGAGGAACCTGCCAGCCCTGACCCACCAAGCTGCCCTTTCCTGGGGGAGGAGGACACTAGATAAATCTGGTGGTTCTCTTCTGTTGCAATGCCACCCCACCTCCCCCAGGCTGTCTGGCCATCTGTTAGATTTTAGTCCTCAGGGGTCCATGAGATGTGTTTACTACCAAACCTGATGGCCTGAATTCAATCCTCAGGACCTACATGGTAGAAGGAAAGAACTGACTCCTGCAAGTTGTTTCTAACCTCCACAAGTGCACTGTGATCGGTACTCCTGGGCTTGTGCAAGCATGCAAGCACAATGTAAACTTTAATAACCTGGGTGTGGTGGTACATTCCTTTAATCCCAGCACTAGAGAGGCAGAGGCAGGCAGATCTCTGAGTTCCAGGTCATCCAGGACGACATACTTTAAAACTCTGTCTTATAAATAAGTATCCGGGCATGGTGGCCCATACCTGTGATCCCAGCACTCAGGAGGCAGAGGCAGGCGGATCTCTGTGAGTTCAAGGCCAACCTTAAACAAATAAATAAAACAGAGTCTCTCAGCCAGGTGTGGTGGTGCACGCCTTTAATCCCAGCACTCGGGAGGCAGAGGCAGGGGGATCTCTGTGAGTTCAAGGCCAGCCTGGTCTACATAGTGAGTTCCAGGACAGCTGGAGCTACGGGGAGACCCTGTCTCAAAAAGACCAAAAAAAAAAAAAACAAAAACAAAAAACAAAAAAACCAGTGTCTCACTATGAAACTCAGGTTGGCCTTGAACTCATGATGAGCTTTCCAAGTGTTGGGATTGTAGCCCACCAATCCACCTGACAGGATTTTTTTTTTTAATTGGAAAAGACTAAGGAGACCCAGGTTTGTTTGTTTTTTGTTAATTTTTATTTTTATTTTATGTGTTATGAGTGTATTGCCTGCATGTCGGTAAGTGCACCCATGTCGTGCAATGCCCACAGAGGACAGAAGAGGCCATTAGATCCTCTGGAACTGGAGTTATGGACAGTTGTTAGCTGCCATGTGGGTGCTGAGATTCGAACCTGGGTCTTCTACAAGAACAACCAGTGTTCTTAACCACAGAGCCATCTCTCCAGCCCTGAGACCCAGGTTTTTAGAAGGGGTTATTGATGAGAAGGAGGATGGCCCAGTTACCCAGAGAGACTGACTTTATGCTTCAAATGGGATTGTGAGCATATGGGGGAAGGGGAAGTGGGGGGGATGGTTGTCACCAATATCTCCTCCTGGTCAGCACCTAGGGGTGGCCTTAAGCGCACTTAGGCCAGAGCCTTTGGCCTTGTCCAGGATACCTTTCTCCTGTCTTCAAGGCTGTCAGTTTCCTTGGTCCGACTGTCAACTAGACTTCCCTCCCATCTGCTCCTCTGCCCCTTTGCACAGCCTCCCTGGCTCTCAGCCCCCAGTCTCACAGACTACTTGCTGTTCACAGGGAGTTTTCTAACTGTGCTGCCCCTCCCCTCCTGGGATAGAGTACCCACTGCAAAGCAGGCCTCTGAGGCCTAGAGTGACTGACTCCACCCCACACCTCCCTGCCCAGCCAGAGCCTAGGTTTCCTTTTGGTCCCAGCATTGGCATTGCCAGGGTGCAGTTGGGCCCACAGCATCTTATACCCAACTCCAGATCAGAAGCTGTCTTTAACAGGATGGCCAGGCCTTCACATGTCCATTTCTTTTAAAGATTTTTATCGTGTGTGTGTGTGTGTGTGTGTTTGTGTGTGCACATGCCTGTGGAGGCAGGAGACAGTGTCAGATCAACTGAAGCTGGAGTTATAAGCAGTTGTCAGCAGCCATGTGGGTGCTGGGAACCAAACTCAGGACCCTGCAAGAACAGCAGGCACTCTTAACCACTGAGCCATCCTTCCAGCCCCTACATGGCCTTCATTTCTGTCTAGATGCCCATTTCTATCTAGAAGTTCTACTGGTAGGACTTTCCTTGGTTCCCTCTTGATTTTTGCACATTTATCTGAGACACCCTTCTAGCCTCTTCCTGACTGGTCTTCTGCGTCTCAGCATTCAACTCTAATCTCTTCCTCTAGGAAGCCTTCCCTGACTACAAGCTAGGTCAGGGTCCTCTGGATTCTCGAAGTCCCCTGCATTTCCTTGGCCTAGCCCTGACCCCTAGATCCTTACCATCACACTACTGGGCTGTGAGCCCTGTGATGGGGGGTGGGGAACCCAAGCTGTCCCCAGTATCATCCAGATTTTGGAGGGCATCAGGAGCTGTCACAGAACGTTTAAAGTGACAGCTAGAGGAATGGGAACCCCGGTTGAACATCTAATCTTAAGAGAGATGTATGCAGCCTCTAAGACCAACTGACAAAGTGGGTGAGAAGCCATTCCCAGAGGCCACAGCTCCCTGTGGGGTGCAGGTTGGACACCAACGCCCTGGAGAGGGTGGTCTTCACTGGCCCTTGTCCCAGGAGGGGGCTGAGCAAGGGCTGAGACGGGCTCTGGACTTAGACTACCCGTGACTCACAGGTGTTGTGAAACTCTGATTACTATTTTTCCTTATTTCTTTTTGTTTTTGAGGTACTGGGGGTTGAATCTAGGGCTTCATGAATGCCAAGAAAGCACTCTATACCACTAAGTCATACCTCTGGCATCTCATAGATTCTGGGCAAGCACTCTACTACTGAACCATGCTCCAGTCCCTCACTGGGGAATTCTAGGCAAGCACTCTACCATTGAACCCTCTTTTCACTCTTTTTTTTTGTCTTTTTTGAGACAGGGTCTCCTTGTAGCCCCAGCTGTCCTGAAACTCACTATGTA